ATAACTATTTTTATGTAAAAAAAGTTATGTTCTGAAAACTTACAAAATCCTACCTTTATTAATCATTATTCATTTAGGTTTTTATGGGGGGGGGGGGCGGGAGATTTAAATTCGATGTTTGAGGCGTTTTTTTCTCTTATAATCTGCAGTTATTAAGCACGGTTATTTTTTCAACTTAAAAACGAAAAGGGCTTATTTGCGAAAAGATTAAAAATACAAAAGCTAAAGCAAAACAGAAAACACTAACCACGACAACAAATGGTGTCAAAAGATTTTAAAAACTTTTTTTTGTATAAATAAAATTTAAATTATAAAATATTGCTTCTTGTTTTTTAAAGAATTATGATAGATAAGCTAAGCATGTGAAAAAAAGTCAACAAACAAAAAAAAGGTGTTAAGGTTGGGGGGGTTCTTTCTTTAAATTTAAAAATAAAATTGTTCCAAAATCTATTATAAATTACTTTGTATAAAAAAAAAAAAAAAAAAAAAAAAAAAAAAAAAATCAGTCCCTTATAAACTAAACAATAGGAACCCAGTGGAGGACCCCGGGGATTGCTAAAACCAGCATAAAATTATTTTAAATAAAAAATGCCTATCTTTTTTGATGAAAAATACATACCATTTCCCGTCTGAGTGAAGAGAAAAGTCAGAATATTCAATAAATCTTTTTTATTAAATATACTTTTTTTATTTTAATAAGCAACACCAGAGAGACTTTTACTTCAATGGAGACAGGTTATTTATTTTTTTAAATATAGTCCTTGAAGCGTAACAAATTACGCAGTACTTATTTCGATTTTAAACGCGTTATTTCGGAGATCAATTACTTTGTGTTACTTACTTATCACCTGTAAACGTAAAACAAATAAAAACAGTCTTCTTAGTTGGCAATAAAAGTGAATGGTGGCTAGCTTTTGCTGTAATGTTGAGTGTTGATTAGTTACAGCTAATTTGTTTAAATAATGTAATTACTATGTTTGCATCACGTGACAATAATTTTAAGTAAGATGATGCACTAAAATAAGTAAGCAAGTACTCGTCTTAAGTTCTCTTAAATTATTCCAACACTAAAAACTTAACCAGAAAATAATAAAATAAAATTCTTAACTTGTTAAATGAACAAATACGCGCAATTTTCCCACAGAGTGAAGAAAAAAAGTTAGAAAATCTACTTTTTAACTAAAATATGTTCTTATGGTGCTAAAATTGAAATTAGGTTTTTGGAATTTGAGGTTTCCAAATATTGGCAGTAAGTAAATGAAGACAAATTCGTGTGCATTTTTCTTTTCTTTTTTTAATTAAATTTTAAACATTTTTTTCAATTTTTAACATTTAAAAAAATTGTTTACGAATAACTCAAAAAAATAAATAATTTTATTTTTATTTCATGAATACTACAAGAGAAAGATTTTCTAGGAGACAACTGCGAGTAAAGTGTTTTTTGATTTCTTAAGATTTTAAGCTAAAGGAAAGAAAACAAAAAACTTAAAACAGGTATCACCAATTGGGTACCCGGTCTGGTGTCATTTTTAAAGACTTCAAAGTTTAAATAATTATTTGACTTTTGAGTTTTTGACAGACAAGAAAAAAAAACAAAAAACACCCCAATCAAAATATCCAAACTTTTGATACACGCGTTATTTATTTACTTACATTAAATTAAATTTAAATGTGAATTTTGGTTAAAAGAAAAAAAAAGTACATTTATTTTTCAAAATAAAAAAAAAAACAAAAAAACTACGCAAACAATTTTATTTCATTTTTATTTATCAAATGATGTTTGATCTTCGGTGAACGAATCAGAAAAAAAATGTATTTTTCAATGCAAAAAGGATGTTTTATTGTTGACATTAACTAAACAGAAAACAAAACAGTTTTCTCATGAATAAAATTAAATTTACATTTCATAAATTCAAAATTTTCTTCTTTTGTTTGTTTTAAATTGTTAACGTTAACTATTATAAAGTTAAATTTAAATACTCGTGTGTAACTTAAAAGCTTTTAAAGCCTTCTGAATTCTTTAGCAATCATTTTTAAAAACCTCTCCAGAAAGATTTACCTGTGTCTAGTCGTGCAACCGGTCACCAAAAATTGATGATTTAAGTTTTAAACTCTTCAAATCATTACCTGTGTATAGTGCGACCACATATTGCGTAAAAAAATAAAAATAAAAAATATAAACAAACTGATTTACAATAACTCGCACCATGGCTAAAAGAGTCACAAGAGAGATTTTTAAGAGCGTATATGCGGTATTAAAAAAGAAAAAAATCAAATCAAATATAACAAAAAAAAAAAAAATTCAGAAAAATAATTTAATTTTAATTTCTTCTAAAATAGTTATTTAAATATAAATAAAAACAGATTTTTGTAAACAAACTAGCAATTTCTTAATCTTCTTACTACAGTACATTAGTGACGACAGTACACACCAGTTTTAAGAGTTTGCTACATTGACAGTAAATAATGTGAATAAAAGAAACTAAAGTAAAGACGTTCTTTAATTTTTTTTTAAGTGAATAAAATTTAAGATTATTCAGAACTTAAAAAAAAAATGCCGTATTTTTAATTAAAGAACACAATAAGAAGTTTTTAAATAAATTTCACAGGTTTAAAAAAATATTTAAATTTTGTTGCCATGAAGGTAAAAACATTGTTTATGTTTGCCATGTTTTTAAACAGCAAAAAACTCAAATAATACTTTTCTTCTTTTTCATGTGCAAGAAAAACTAAACCGCTTTTATTTTTGTAAACATCCCCAATGTGTTTTTTAAATTTATGTAAACATTTGTCTTATTTTTTGTGTAAACTACATTTTTAAATTTTTATGATGTGAATCACATACAGTCCCTGACCCTGAAATAAACATCCATCCGAATTTTTGTTTTAAAAATATTGGATTGGTGCATAATTATCAGGCGTTTTTGGAAGCAATTTATTTGTTAATAAAAATTGCTGTTTTGTTTACTTTTTATTTATTTTTTTTAGTAAAAATATTGTTTTATTTTCAGATTATAAAAAAAATGCGTGTCGAATCAAAAGCTCTGGAATAATAAAAATGTTAAAGTTAGGATGCTTGTCTCCGTTGATAATTATTGCATAAATAAAGGAAAAAACTTGTAGTTCCAACAAATGATTTATTTTTATGAAAATATTTCGACTAGAAATTACCAGTCTTGGTCATTCCTTAATTTGAGTAAAAACAGTGCAAAGAAGCTCGAAACTCTTCAGAATTCTTTACGCTGTTTTTAACACAAATTAAGGAATGGCCAAGACCAGTCGAAATATTTCCATAAAAATACATCATTCGTTGGAACTACAAATTTTTTCTTTTAATTATAAAAATGTTATTGTTGAATTGATATGTTTATTTTTTTTTTTTTTAATACTAAATAGTATTTTAAAAAACGCCTGATAATTATGCACCAACCCAATAGTAAAAAAGTAAACTAAACATTTCATTCTAGTCTTAAATGGAAACATTTTTTTTATGTCAAGATTTTTTAATTATGTAAAAAACTTTAAAAAATAAATAAATTTCACAATTTGTTTTACTTTTGTTAATAAAGATTTAAGAGAAAAAAAATATTTTTATTTTATAATTTAAAAAAAAAAAAAAAATTGCTTTTAATTCAATCATTTTTTTTTCGAGAATAATTCTTGAATGAAAAGATTTTACAAATTTGTTAATTTTAATTGCAAAAGTTTTTTTTTAATTATTCGCAGCCCAAAAGAAAGGTTTCTTAATTCTTAAGATTATTAAAAACAAGGAAGTAAAACTATTTTAAAATTAAATTCTAGTAAGAAAAAAAAAATATAGTTTTAATTTTTTTAAAGTTAAACTAGTAAATAAAAAAAGAAAAAAAATGTTAAAGTAAACTGATGTAAAAAAAAAAAAATATTAAAATACGCTAAAAAGAAATTTTCAACGTCTTTTTGAATTTTAAAAAAATATTTTTAACGTTTTTTTATTTTTTTTTTATTTTGAGCTTGACTGTTTTTTGCTTTGGCATTGAATATCCTTTATTTTAAAACAAATTTTTGTAATATCAAACTAGAAAAACTTTTTTTAAAAAAAAAAAAAAAAATGTAATTATCTTTATTTTATTTTTAACTTTAAAGAAAAGATCTGGATTTTGTTTTGCCATTTCTACTGGGGGAAAAAAATCACATTCTTTTTTTTCTCCAATTAGAAATAAAAATAATTAACCATTTCATTTTTTTTTTAAATTCCAAACAGTTAACTTAAAATAAACAAAATATCGAAAAAATAAAACCACTTGCAGGAACAACTTACTCACAAGAAGACTTCGTACCATTCTTTGGTGTCGTCGTCGTCGCTGCCGCTACACATTCTTCTTTATCACCTTGACCTCTTCTAGCATCTTTTTTCTTCTCTTTATAATTATTGCCTTGCTGGTCCTTTTTTTCATTATTCTTCTCTCTATTTGCTGCAGCGGCCGTCCGTTTCTTTTTCACGCTTCCAAGACACCAAACTCTTTTAATATTACGAATCGTATACATGGCTGATATTATCATAATAACAATGGTACCCACAATAGACAAAATTATGATGTAAATATTTCCATATGGTCCGTTTTCCATCCTCGGAACCAAAATTGCAACTGCCACTTTTATTTTGTCTCTCTAGTTTCCTAGCGAAATCTTAGCAGACAGCAGTGGTTAAGATTTTTAACAAAATATTCCGTACCTCACCTCAAACTCAGCAACAGCTTACGGAAATTACCGGAAATATTCGAAGTTTGCCTTTGTAAAGCTCTTATTTCTCCATACAGTCTTCGTGGTTTACCAAAGTGATCATTTTTTTACGTAACTGTGCTAATTTAACTTCTTTTTTTTATAGCTGTTCTTCAGAGAACCGTTTTTTTTCTTATTCTCGTTCCAAAAGCGGACGCTCGGAGATAACCGGAAAAATGAAATTCGTTATTAGATTTTTATAATTTCTCGTTTGTCCGCTACGAGATATCACGAGATTCAAAATGGCTGCGCCTACTGGTGGGTACATGTGGAGATAAGAAAATTGTTTGTTAAAAGAAAAAAAAAAAAAAAAGCTATATATATATTTTTTATGTAAGGTTTTATTATTTACGCGCGCTACATTGATGCAGTTTACGAGTAATTTTATTTGTATTTAGCACTGGGATGTTGCCATGATTAATTAAAACAAAGTTTTGTTCTACGTAAATAATGACATTGTTTACAATAAACATTGTTTAGTGTTTACTGATGACAAAACAAAAATGTGGAAAAGAATTAAGATTAATTATTATTTATTTGCGTTTATTTGTATTTAAACAATCCTTTTTATCATTAGATTTTGATAATTATTTGCCAATCAAAGGATTTTTTAAACTAGGAAAATGTCTTTTGTTTTTTGATATAGGACACGACGCTGTTTAAGAAAATTTCCGTAAAATTAAGAAATAAATAATTATCAAATTTAAATTGTTAATAATAGTAAGTTCAATAAAATCAAATCATCTTGTAACTTTAGTTTTAAACCTGCGTTCTTTTACAAATCGCGTCAGTTAATTTTTGTAAAAAGAAATGCAAAGTGTACTTGACTTGTTTCGGGTTGATGTTTTCGAGTAATTCATTTCATTATGTCTGTCTCCGTTGTTTGAAAGAAAAATACTTTGTTGTTAAAAGTCTTCATTAAAAATTTAAACTGCATATCCTTCGTGAATGATTAAATTACCTTAAAGACGATAAATTCGACCTCACTGAACCTTTATACGATTTTTTTTGTCAAAACTACGTTATTTTATCTATTTTTAAATTGATATTTTTAAAAACCGATGAAGAAAAATTGCATATTTTATAATATTTAATTAATTTAAATCTTCAAAAAATAATTTTAAGTTAAGGAAACAATTCATTCAGTTGTCAGTGAACATTTAAAATAAATCCATGCTTAGTAAGTTACACTGAGTAAAAAAATTTTTTGTCTTACCCAAAGTGACAAATGATGTATTAGAATTAGAGAATCTACTAATTAACTTTAAAAGTAAAACTAAAAATCGATTCATTACACTGATCCCCCAAAAATTAATACTGAGAATTGTCCTACATATAGCGCCAGATTTACTTATGGGCGGCAACCTATGGGCCTTCTCGTCTCTGATAAAAATAAGAAAAATAAAGATGTAAGTTTGTAAGAACAGAGGAGATATGTTTATTTTCAGATTTAATGGGTCCCCTTTGAATTAATTTGAAACAATTTAGAATATCTGGGCTCCTCTAGTTGGAGTCAGTCTTTCAAATTAGATTTTGATGCGTCTTTCTTTATTGATGTCGCTTTTCTTTTTTTTTAGTTTTAATTTTGTCTACTTTTTGCTCAATTTTACACTTCATTGCATTGATGTTTAGGATGTACAGTTTGGATAAAAGATATGAAGTTGCTAATGGAAATAAATTGAATGAGTTCCAAAATCATTAAAAATTTTAGTCAGGTTTTTTACACCAAAAAATCATCACCTAAAAGTACAGTGAAACCCGGATATAAGAGAGTTGTCGGGACCGGAGAAGAAGTCTCTTATATCCGGGTTTGGTCTATACATTATCACAGGCTCTAATTTGGGACCAGAGAAAATCTCTCTTATATCCTGGTTACACCTTATATTCTTTTAGCCCTTTTAATCTGATCAGTACATCATCAAACAAAATATTTGCAATTTGTTTTTTTATCAATCAAGTGTACGGGTCGTAAAACATTTGTAATTCAACATTCTGTCATATGCAACATTTATAAACAATATGGTCAAAGTGGTAGCTTCATCTTGTTTATGGTCACAACATTTCTAAGGTGAGGAATTGTCAACCAAGATGAGGACGCCAATTTGAATAAATTAGTGTTTAAATATTTAGTCAAACTGTTATCCTCATCTTGGTTGTTATGGTCACAACATTTCTACTATTTTGCAGATGAATTATTAATAATGGCTGACCGCTCATATCTGAGTATGGCTGTCTACTAGAGTGGCTAGCCAATCCCTGATGCAGACGCTTGCTCAGGCACATTTATTTATTCAGTAACCACAGAGCCCACCTATGGTCTATACTGTCACCATGCTTAGTTATAGTTTCTGGGAAAAATGCTATTCTCTATTATTCTTTTTTTATTCCACAGGTATTAGTGATCCCCTCACTCTTATCCTCAACAAATGATCAGCTATACCATATTTTGTAGTCTACACACATTACAAGTTTTCAGTATTGTTCAAATTTTAGTTTTATGGGGTGGCTGGTTTTTCTTTTTTTTTTTTTCAAAACTGCAGGGTATTTTATACATGCAGTTCTCAGTGATGTTCACATTTGATAGAGGGTTAGTCCTAGTAAGGTGTCTTTTGAATACTGTCCTAATGTTGGATGAACTGCAGATTCTCTTAATCTTTTCTGAAATGCTTCTGATGTAAGACAAACTGTAGCAGTTTTCTAACCAGTGTCATCCACACTTTCACCTCTTGTGAGTGTCTATTGTGCTTGCAGGATAGGAAGGAAAAAAAAAGGAGGTTTAAGACTCCAAAACCCAGCACTTAAATGCCTTAAGGGACAATTGACATAAGTGTTGTTTAAGTTGATGCACTTAGCTGAGCAGATGTTCATGAGTTCATCTTGTGGGTGCGTCAGGTAATGAAATTCATATATTCCAGAATAAGCAGCAGTTTCATCTTAAAAAATTTAACTGGTACAAGGTATCTTCTTGCATAGACAGTGGCATGAGAATGATCTGCTACCATAGATTGAATAAAGTGTTTAAAGTTAAAGATACTAATTCAAACAAATGCATGAAATAATATTGGCTGATTTGTTTTCTAATTTTATCAGAGGTTGTGATATCTCAATTTGGGTGATTTTTTTTTTTTTTTTGCTCACTGGGGTAGACTGTTCTAGATCCACATGCCATGTTTAATGGATGTCAGTTATCAGTTATCTCCTGTTAGTCCCCCTCTCCACTGCCTTAACCAGGTATTGAACTCACACTCTTTGGGTCCTGTCACTGGATCTAACCAATGCCTTTATCCACTGTGTCATGTGTCCTTGAGCAAAATAAAGAGTTCAGTTTGACATTTGAACCACCTGAAGAAGGCCAGAGCGTACAACAGCCGAAACGTAATAAATATGGTGACAAAGATGAGGACAATATAATGTAAATAGTGTGCATAATACCTCATCTCAGAAATATAGACAGATATATATATATATATATATATATATATATATATATATATTATAAATTAATTGATTTAAAATGTTTTTTTCGCTACACAGTTCTAACCATGTTTCAAAAATGGAAGCTAAAAGCCCTGAATTTAATTTTGTAATTAAAGACATTAGTTCCATATTAATGCTCTGTAAATTTACATTGAGCACTATTTTGTAAAAATAAAAATATCTATAAGAACACCGCATTATATATCTTACTGTTCTTTCTTTTTATTTATATATATATGAAAAATTTCTCAAAGTTAACCTGTAGAAAAAGACAACATGTATAAATGTAAAAGACAGGAAAACTGTATTATTAGCCGAAACATTTTGTCTAACGTGGACATTTTGAAGGCAAAAACGAAATGAAATACAGTTTTCCTATTGTCTTTTACCTTTATGCACACAGGGCCAGTGTGTCATACCCCTGAACTAAGTGGGGAAATTCAAGCCTGGAGGGGGGGGCAAACATTTTATGACAGTTGTTATCTTATCAGCATTTGCTTTTTCTCCCTACATTTATATATGTTACAAATTAAACTAAGCACAACTGACTATTAAAGGATGAAAATTTTTCATGGATTTTGACGTCATTCTAGGGTCTTTTTTTTTGCAGCCAAATCTGTGAATTTGTTTTGCTTGCGCTAAATCTAAAAAAGAACACTATATAAAATTTACTATTTTTTTTATCCATTGTCTTGAATGTCTTAACATTTTTCAACTTTTTAGCAAGAAAAATCTCAAGCTGATGTTAAAAATTGACAGAAAATATTATTTTCAATTTTTCTAGTTGAATTGTTCACCTATATTGCATATGATCCATTATTGTGCATAATTAGGTTAGAATAATATTTGTGATTTATATGAATACTATCTTATGAAAATTAAGATGTAGTTGGATGGGGACCCTGTATCTTAGATAAGGGGGTGCATGAGACACTTACACCAGCCCTATATATAGTGATGTAGCTCAGATGTAGCACAAGGCTGAAAGTATGGGACGCCCAGTGAGGATTGAACTCACTACTCAGGCATAATTATTCTAGCGAGACAAGTTTGCCAAATATTATACTACCTCAAGGTTCCCCACTAGCCATATATATATATATAATGGAATCCAGTCAAATCTATTGCATTCAATTATGTGGTAATACTCTACTCTTGGGAAAGGTATTAATCCTCTTCTTCTCCCTCCAGCTATGGGTAAATAGCAGGACAGACTGGGTTCTATAGCCTTGGATGGCAATTGGTCTAGGAGAAGGACAACTCTGAATTCAAAACTTGCGGAAGGTCGTTTGGGGACTTTGTGGCATATAGTGCACCAGATCTCTGTATATGGCCCTTCAAAAAGTGTGGATGGTTCTGTACAAAACCTTCACCACTATAATCAAATCATATGTGCTAGTGTCTGGGCTGTCGGTTCCTAAGAATTGAGCTGCTTGACCCACATACATCAAATACCACACCAAATAAGTTATAAATATTTTTAATAGAAACAGATATAAAATTCATATGTTATAGTCACTGTATGAATTTATTGTCAAAATTTCACCAGCATTAGTTGGTTGATACCAATTTATTTGTGAAAATCTTTCATAATGAAATCTGACATAGGGAAGAATGAAAAACAAAAGAGCAATCATGTTTCATAAAAGCTAAATCGGTCAAACGCTTAATCCTTATTATTAACAAAGACAAAGTGCTTTGCATGAAAGCAGTTCTTTTATTCCTTGTTAGAAGAAAGCAGGATTTTTGATAAAAAGCCAATGACTGCATTTAAATCAGTG